TTTGCTGGTTTTAAAGTCAAAAACATCTTGAAAAATGATCATGATAAGCATGAGCCTAAATGACTGGGTGAGCAAGAGTAGGTTGAAAAACCATCTTGCAAGCAAGCTTCAACAAAACGTCACTTATTATTCAATACTGGGCAACGGTGTGGTTGGCTACCTGTAGACATGAAAATCGATTTCTACCATTAACCTGTCAGAAAACATCCTAAAACTTGATAAAACCAGGTCTGAGATCTATACAACATATGTATCACTGAAGTCAAATCTGTGTCTCCAATGTGTAGTCTGAGCCTAAAGAATGTTCTGTGTCTTAACATGAAAGACTCCCAAGGGAAACACTAAACGCGGTAAAACTAGATCACGAAGAAAACTGGAGTTAACAAGAGAGAAAAAAACCTGAGGAAAGTGGAACAAAGTGGGTCATTAATTTCACTCCCCAAACCACACTAGAGGTAAACAATTGCTGCCGCAGCTTTGGCAAAAGCACTATGTGACGTTCCAGAAACAAACAATCACAGGACTCAAAGATCGAAGGGCTTGATCTTCTGGGCAGCCCTGCAACAGCTGAGACTGGCTGGAATTGGAATGACATCCAGAATGTAGAAAGAGATCTACAACTGATCCTAAAGCAACAGGCATGCCCACACCTGCTTCTAACAGTCACACCACAGCAACCAGCTATGACTTGCCCCCCACAAACAGACACAAATAAAAGTCTGTCAGTGTTGACATGAGATACTGTAAGCTCTGTGATGGTAAAAGAAAAAAACTGTTGTGTAACAGCTTCATGAGAACGGTAACACACAAACCGGTTAAACAGGATAGGCGCATTGTCACTTGTAACCGCGTTTAACATAAAAATATTGGATCGTCTGTTTACCACTTGTTCTTAATGCCAAGTTCATGTTCGCCATGGGAAAGTCTGTCATAATCAAGTGCTTACAGTTTACAGATGAGGTTTTTAAAGATGGAAAGTCACTTAATTGGGGTGCAATGTGTTAGACAAACTAGAGATTGTTTCATTTGTTTTGTTCACTTCAGATTCTGCAGAATCCTTGTCTGGGACACCTGGGAGTTTGTCAATGCAGAGTAAAAACCTCCAGCTATCACTTCAGATTTTCCTCTTGACAGTTGGGCATTGATCCCAAAGGTGATACAAACACTTAAACTCAGGTCAACTTAAATCTACAAACTAAAGATTTCTGTGGGTAGCTCTGATCTGCAAATTACATGTATTCGCAAAAGAATGTTGCATAAAATATTTCCAAATAAAAAGCACCGCTTCCATCCAACAAGTCCAAGATAAACTGGCACCAAATATCAAAAGAAAAATGAAAGTGCTGCATTAGGAATTGCCCATTTTTCATATATAATAACTTACTTGCTTCTTAGGACACGTAGACGGAAATATTTGCATTTGCGTTTTTAGATGCGGTAGACTGATCTTTGGAAACACAACGAGTCAAGACAGTTGTGGGTCTAATGATCCAGAACCACTTTGATGACATAGTTTGGTTGGAATTTTAGAATGACGAAAACAACATTTCAGATGTCAGAAATCAGTCCATTGACTGGTCCATGCCACCCCATCGCGCCTCGATTCCGACAGAAACACAGCCCCTTATTGGAAGGATGGTATTAAATGCTCTCATACAAATCAAACTAGACCCTAGGATTTGTGGTCTCAAAACATTATAAATTTCATTTTGTAAACAGTGTTGTAAAATATTTTCGATGCATATCACATCATGGACATAATATTGAGGTATGTATTGTATCGTGAGTAGAGTGTATCATTACACCACTACTGTGTCATTAGCTGTACATTCATTTATAAAAAAACATTTTGTGGTTTTTGAAAAACATGAGCATTTATAAAAATTGAGGTTGATTGTATATATATATAAAAATTTAGCAGTGTCAATCCAACACTTAGAGTGTTCATTTTAACACCGATTAAATAAAATATGGTCCCAATCTATCGGGTGTAAAAAGTTGAATTTAGAGTGCTAAATTGGCATCTCAAAGTGCTAAAAAATAACACTTAGGGGATAGGGTGTTACACTTCTCCATCACCAGACAAAATGGCATCGTCTTTTCTCGAGGCAGAAGTTGTTGTGGGCGGAGAAATTTTAACACTTTCAGTTTTAAATGTAAAACCATATAAATTTACACCCGTAATCTACACTGGCAAAGTGTACTTTTTAGCACAGTGTATTGTTAAGCCAACACTTTTCCCCACTGGTGATTTTACACCCGATATCTACCGGACCATAAACGATCCGAGCGGTGTTGGATTGACGCTGCTAAATTTACTGCGTATGTGTGTTAATGCAACACTAATCCGTTCAATCATGGTTGTAAATAAAGACATGTGTTCATTATGCAACTCTAGAGGCTTTTTAACACATGCAACAAGTGCAGGGTCTAAACCACTTCTATTTTCCACTAGTCAATTACCAGCGTTACTGTTGTGAGGATGATGACTACCTGAATGAAAAAAAAGGAGTGAAAGCAATTCTTCTCTCTCTCTCTCTCTCTCTCTCTCTCTCTCTCTCTCTCTCATGGGCACACAAGCTCTTACAATATTTCTCTGAAAAGGCTTCACGGTGATTAAAAACCCCTTTCCGCTCGGTCCCCCAAGTTGAAGTTAAAGGTGCATTCTGGGAACAATGATCTGGTGGAATGTAGCCCCAAACCCCATGTACGCTCGGCTCTCTGTTCTAATAGAGAAAAGACGCTTTTGAAGTCCAGTCTTCTGCAGACAAACAGCACCATGGCTTGCCTCAAAGGGTTTTGCTTTCACTAAAAGGCAGAGGAACAGTGGTGAAAAGATGAATACGGGCCTAAAAACAGGAGCTAGGATGCAAATGTTGCTCAGAACATGGAGAATTTTATGGCCAAAAAGAGTGTGAGAAATCAATTTGTTTTCTAAGGAGCTCTTTGTAAACAGGAACACTGTGCTCATTTCGCTACGCTGGTGGCAGGATAGACTTTTCTATTGTGGATCGAACAGCTTTCGTACTCAAAAGCCGGAGGAGGCAAACCGTATGAGTTCGGTGAATTAGAATTAAGTTGAATGTGCCGACGCAACTGAGGTGTCACAGGAGCTCTGTGTTGAGTTTTCCTTCCTCGCTGTCGGCCCCTCCTATGACCTCCTATTCCTCCGTGTCCCCCGAGTCGGTTACATAACTTATTTCCACTGACCTGCCCTCTTCTTTTCCTGTGCACACACATACACACAGAGCTAGGGCATATTTCTTCTGGATCTTTCAGCTGGAGATTAGGGAGGCTGTGGGTCAAACCCTCCCCTGCCTGGACTGCACATGTGGCTCCTTTCAGAGGTCTGGACTTCATCTTTTTCCTCTCGGTGTCCTGCACACACAGTATCAAGCCTCCAGTGCTCATTTTGCCTTTCTCTATTTAAAAGCATGTCAGTTTAATGCATTACAGTGTGAAGAATGACCTCTTGGAAAAAAAAGGGTCATCATGGAGAAAAAAAGGTGCAAACTTAAACAGCTTAAGATATTTGGTGGATGGACACTAACTGAACTTGAAGGATCAGGAAAGGGAAATCCAGATGGCTAACCTTGTCATTCTTTTTGTATTAGGTGTTTGTACCTTCTTTTTTTTGTAATTTATTTGTTTTTAACATTTGAACGTTAACCAACGTATTTGGTGAACTACATTCACTCTCATGCAAAAGTATAAGGTTCCATTCATGTCAAGCTTCTTTATAACCACCAGAAGCTTTATTCTTAAGAGAGTACTTTTAAGATATCTCTGGGGTTGTGGATTTCCTGTGCTTCTTCCCCCATGGTGTTCTCTGATATCCTCTGACAGATCTCAGGAGGGAAGAATGCGTCATGGGCAGGTTATTAAATCCCATTCTGAACTAATATTTATGAGAAGGGGTGTTTATATGGCCCGGTACTTCAGAGGCATGAGGGGAGTGAGGTCAGGGGAGAGGGGATCTTCCTGAGATGGAATTCATCTGGAGAGAAGAAGCATCTGTGAGCACTGAGGACACATAAATTTGCTTCAGCTTTGCTCCTGTGTTGTACTTCAGTAGAACCATTTGTAAGGTACCAACTGAGATAGGTTGTAACTATTTACATTTAAACATTTACATTCACTACCGACTAGCACTTTTTACCTAAAGGTAATGATCAAGAAAAATCTTTACATTGTGAGATTGGTTAAATGTTTTTGTTTTCCATTTGAAAATACAATGCTGACAGGGGCTACGCATCTTCAGGTTCAGATTAAAGGATGTGGCAAAAGGAGACACAAGTGCAGTCATTGTACATCCCTTAGCAGTCTTTGCATGTGCCAAACATGGCGGCTGCTTGGAATTACCGCTAAGAAGGAATGGTGCAACCCAGGAAATGGTTTGATTTTATTTCAAATAAAATGTGTAGGTTTTTGAAACAGCTATCAGCTTTGATATTTTTGGTTTTAAATGAACATTCCAAGAGTTATGACACAGTTTGCGTGATAATTTAAATTATAATGTGAGAAAATGTGCCATCAATACCTGTGAGCTGGCTCATGTTCAATTTAACACAGTTTTGACCTAGTATTTTTTTTTTTTGGGGGGGGGGACTATTGCGTAATATGGTGAAAAAAATATGTGTTTATACTACAAGAAGATGTTTAGCCTTGCTACACACACAAAAAAAATAAAGGTCATTTATTAGAGCAAATTGTGAAGTAGTTATTGTAAATGAGCTCAGGTTTTATGGCCTCGAAAAGGCCTCGGGTTTCTAAAGGTTAAAGTTAAAGTAACATTACAACCAAGTATGGAGAGACCTATTCAAGAGCACACACGCAGCAGTGAATAAACTTACCATGAAAACACCCGGAGCATTTGAAAGCAATAGCTGAGACGCCAGTGGAGCAGTGGGGGAAACTGGTGACTTGATGAAGGAAAACCACAGTTGTGGTTGTTACAGGTGTGAGAGAGTGAGCGCTCAACTCTCATTTACCTTTGACTCCAAGGAAAGCCGGGAATCCAACCAGCAACCTTCTGATCACCAGTCAATCTCTTTATCCACTCGGACACAACTGCCATACCTAGATTTTTTTTTTTTACATTAAATAATGTAGGAAAATAATGTACATTAAATAATGAATACATGGCTTCTAATAGCAAATCTACCCTAAGAAAGGTGTGAAGAGGTAAATGTTTTGACTTTAGTGCTGTGAAAACTGATGGAAACGATGCTGAAGATGAGGGTTGCAATGCCTCTGAAAGAGAATGACTTCACTCGTTTGGATTCAGTTTCTCTCTTCCATTGATTTCCAGGATATTTCGTACTCATAACTGCTTATAAAATCGCAGACATATGTCAGCTGTATCAAATGAAGCAGCGCTCCAATCATTAGTCAGCTGCATGATTTGATGCATTGTTGATCTTTAGAGCACAAACCTCTATTTACTTGGAAATTAAATGTCTACTTCACCTTGTTCAAATGATCAGGTATATGTCCATTAAAGATGACTGAATCCAGCGGGATCAAGGTGGAGGCTACCACAAAAACAGCATGTCACAAAACTACTGTGACATACTGATCCATACTTTGCAGAGGAAAAACTATGTGGTGGAAAACCATCTAAAGGTGGGTGTGTTCATTTCATGATTGTTTGAGTAAAAGTGTTTAATTCTCTACCCAACTAACCCAACAGTTAAAGGTTGTAGGTAAATTTGACAAGCAATTGTAAAGTTAGTCGACAAATCTAACCATACAAAACATTCAAACAAAACAGCTAACACAAAACAAACAGTAAAGGAAAATCACCATCACTCTTCTCATAGCAGCTGTCTCTCATCACTTTGTAGTTCTAAAATAGTTCTAAATTCAGGAAGAGATTTTGGCAGATGGTAAAAGTTATCACAGTTTACAATATTCCTTTTCCCCTGCACTATTTCTCTCCAAACAACTCGGATTGATTTTTCACGGAGGAGACTGTGAGTAACTCGCTCAGTATGTGCTTTATTTATAAACCCATGGGAGCCATCTTATGGAAACTATTTTCCTATGTGCGCTTCGCCAGGTTTGTGGCACAGGGGCTTCATCAAAGAGAAATTCTTTTTTTATTGCTGATCTGTCATCGGGGTTGTTATGCCTGTTGTAATAGTTAAGTTCGGATTTTGTATTTGTTAAATGGACAAAAATCAAATGCAGCCAAGAAATAATTATTTGATTTTATTTGACCAATAGCCCACTTAAAAAACATGATGAGCTGATAAATATAATACAGTTTGATAAACAGTGAGCATAACACAATCTAGAAAATACATTTGAGAAAATGTTGTGATGTGAAAGTGTTACCTGCATGAGTGAGATAACTTTTGAATAAAAGCTAGACTCCTCTAGCCTGACACTGCACCTTTATCTTTGTAAAATACAATAAACAATGTCTTTAAATGCACAATTTTCCCAAGTCTTTCCCAAATATGCTTTTTACCCTTGTTCCGCCCACCACTATACTTCCGCTATGCCTTCTTCTGAGCAAACCTTGTCTGTCGGTCAGAACTCAGAGAAACATGAGCACCATCTCTTTTAACACAATCACTAAAATAAATCCGTCTGTGGGATGGTTTGGTTGGTTAGTAGATCAGTTGGTAGGTCAACTGGTCTTCAGTCAGTCTGTGGGTTAGTTGGTCGGTTGGGTTGGTCAGTCAGTTGGTCGGTCAGGTGGGTTTCTTGGTTGGTCGGACAGTTGAGTTGGTTGGTTGGTCAGTCGGTCGGTTGGTCAGGTTGGTTGGACAGTCAATTGGTTCAATAGGTTGGTCAGTTGGGTGGTTTGGTCGGTTGAGTTGGTCAATCAGGTTGTTTGGTCGGTTAATTGGACAGTTTGTCACTCGAGTTGGTTGGTTGGTTTGTTAGTCGATTGGTTCATTGGTCAGTCCAGTCAGTTGGTTTGTTAGTCGATTGGTTCATTGGTCAGTCCGGTCAGTTGGTTAGTTGGTCGAATGGGTTGGTTGGTCAGTCATGTGGGTTGGTCAGTAGGTCAGTCTAGGGTCAGGTCAGGGTTGGTCAGGGTTTGTTGGTCGACCAATTGGTTCTGTAGGTTGGTCGGTCAGGTGGATTGGTCGGTTGAATTGGTTGATCAAGTTGGTCGATCGAGATTGTTGATTGCTTTGTCGGTTGGTTGGTCAGTTGGGTTGGTTGGTTGGTTTGTTAGGTCAGTCAGGTTGTTTGGTCGGTCGATCAGATGGTTGATGGATTGGGTTGGTTGGTTTGTTAGATGGTTGGTTGGTCGGTCAGGTCGGTTGGGTTGGTTGGTTGGTTGTTTGGTTTGGTAGGTTGATCAGGTTGTTTGGTCTGTCAATCAGACAGTTAATCGATAGAGCTGATTAGTTTGTTAGATGGTTGGTTGGTCGGTCAGATCAGTTGGTCGGTTGGGTTGGTTCATTCGTTCGTTAGGTCGGTCAGGTTGTTTGGTTGATCGATTAGATGGTTGATCGATCAAGTTAGTTGGTTGGTTGGTTGGTTGGTTGGTTGGTTGGTTGGTTTGTTAGATGGTTGGCTGGTCAGTCGGTAGTGCCTTTGTTACAGCTGCTTCAGAGCAAGCAGAGAGGACCAAGAGGAAGATTTGAAGGGACAGAGCTATTGCATTGTGGGTCCTAAACTCTGAAATGGTCTGCCCTTTCAAATTTGGCATGTAACTTCACTGTCCATTTTTAAGTCAGCCATTTGTTTTACAGTGTATGTATTTATAAATAAAGTTGGCAAGGAAATTTTTGATCATTTAGTTACCAAAAAAACTTTCAATACCTTCAAAGCCGTTCTCTTGAATGCATCTCTAAGCACACTGGTCTTTTTTTAAACAGGCATCAGCTTGAATTATTACCAGAATGGTATTGCCTAAAGAGGTGGCCTGGTAATCATGTAAGACTCAAAATCAGGTCTGACAGGGTTTGGAAACTCAGCTGAGACAGAGATTCATAGAAAGATATAATTACGCTTTCAGCTCATCCTGTGTCTTCATGACAAATGACTCATAATTGCCTCCTGAATCCTGCTAATTATGGCCAAAATTCACCACCCTTTCCAAACAAAAGGGGCTCAAATGTTGAAATTTACCAAAGGGTTCAAATGTTCAAATGTATATTTAGAAAGGCTCTAGACAATAATTAAGTTAAAGTTCAGATTATTAATATCATGTTTGCACTTAGTAAAATAACATAAAAAAATTGCATTATGAATAAATCAGGTGATGAATAAAGTCCAATGGACATGGCCATGTCAATCAGTAACTTGATCAGAAGTGCAACAATCCAGTGCATTAGGGGAAATCCAACATTTTGAATATGGCCTGGGCTGACAGAGGATCCATAAATAGAGTTCCTATCCGGCCACAATCTTCCCTCCTCTGCCAAGTGCTCATTTAAGAGTGACACACGGGTTGCTATATGTTTCTGTTTATAGCTGCACAAGCCTGTGGTCCCAACAGAGGCACTTAAAACATGCTAAGATGGAGTGACAGGGCAAAACCTAAAGTCTGTCTAGACCCTGCACCTCTCCTTTAACCTTTATTTTACTCACCACAGTTAGAGTCACACAAATATGTATATGCTGACCACAAGGTCATAAGCAGTGCCTAGGGCTTAGCTTTGGGCCTCATGCAAAATCTAATAAACCAGATATTTATAATGTCTCATATGTAAATGTTTTTCACACACTGAAAAACAACACTATTACCCAAATATTATAAAAACACTTCATTGTATACACGGCAGCAGCATCACCACTTTGGTTTTGGATATTTGCATAGACAGGTTCAGATCACTGGTGCAATACTGTGTGTGTTAGGATTCATAACGAAACTAATTTCAAAATCTGTTTCCTTTCGGAAAGCTAACCAAATCCTTTTGACTATTAAAATGCAATGATGCATCCACAAGAGAGGCACAAATAACAAAGCTGAAGATACTAAATTAAATTGTGTGTTTACTTAAGACCAATAAACACTAAAAGCATTAAATGTTAATGGAGAACTGTTCCAAGGTAAATTGGAAAATGCTCAGAGTAAAATGAACTCTGAAATGAACTCTTTAATGACTAGTGCTGAGAAGTTGTTGTCAATAAGCAAATTCACTATTGAAAAATACTACATAAACCAAACGGTATGTAAAAGACAGAATTTTCATTCACAGATTCGGAATTACTAGATATGAAAAGTTAAATGAACTACTTTTTTGATTTGCTGTATCCAGATTCAAGCCGCTGTTCTGTGCCTTAAAGTATGTTTTTTTGTGGGAAGTGAAAGTAGTACTTTAGTGTCCCGCATAAAAGGTCCAAATTCCTGGACACACTGAACTTCCTCCTCAATCCCTTTTCAGTTTCCCAGTTACAAGCTTGTCAATCAGCTTCTCAGTTTCTTAAGTTTTGCTTTGGTGTTATTGCACTTTGATGGTAAATCTCCTTTTTTAAGGTTAATATTATTGCTGAGCGATGAAATATCAACACTGACAGATAACAGTCTGTGATCATTAAAATGCTTAAATCCAAGATTTTGGGACACAAATCCCCCTGAAAAAATATATTTTTCCCATTTTTCCATATCTATAGCAGATGCTATATGCACATTTAGCATAGCTTAGCATAGAGCATTGTATAGATCAGTAGCATGTGAGTATAAAATGATCAAAGATTTTCCATGTCATTTACATATTTTCTGGTAACACTTAAGAACATAGATAATGCATAACTCTGAGGTAGGTACTACAGAACAACCAGTAACTATTTAGTAACTCTGGAGTAACTAAAGTCACCTGCTAGGAAGTTACCATTAATCATTTAGTAACTGTAGTAACTACCCTATCAGTAACTATTGAATATATACATAACTACTCAGTAAATACCATTATAGAATCAGTAACTACTCTTAACTCTAAAATACCCACCAGAAACTATTAAATTTAGCTGTAACTCTTAAGTAATTATCATTAACTAAGGAATTTAGCTATAACTTTTAAGCAACTATCCATATATCCATATCCTAACTAATATTAAGGAAGATTAATGAAGACAAATGTTAAAGGAGAACTATTCTTAACT